CCACTCACACCCCAACTCCTCCACCCACACCCCAACTCCTCCACCCACACCCCAACTCCTCCACCCACACCCAACTCCTCCACCCACACCCCAACTCCTCCATCCACACCCAACTCCTCCACCCACACCCCAACTCCTCCACCTATACCCAACTCCACTCACACCCCAACTCCTCCACCCACACCCCAGCCCCTCTGACCCCACCCCAACTCCTCCAGCCACACCCAACTCCTCCACCCACACCCCACCTCCTTCACCCACACCCAACTCCTCCACTCACACCCCAACTCCTCCACCCACACCCAACTCCTCCACCCACACCCCACCTCCTTCACCCACACCCAACTCCTCCAGCCACACCCCAACTCCTCCACCCACACCCCAGCCCCTCCAGCCCCACCCCAACTCCTCCACCCACACCCCAACTCCTCCACCCACACCCCAACTCCTCCACCCACACCCCAGCCCCTCCGGCCCCACCCAGCTCTTCCGGCCACACCCCAGTTCTGCCCAGGGTCCCAAACAGGGCAGACAGACAGACAGACAGTCGGGGTAGAGCTTAGGCCTCAGGTCAGAGAAACCCGAGCTGAACTCCTGCTATGCCGCCTCCAAGTGCCTCCTGAGCCTGTTTCCACTTTGGTCAGGGGGAGGCCTTTACCTACAAGGTGAGGCCTGAGGGGAACAGGGCCCAGTGCTGGTGACGTCAGCACCGCACCCGCCCAGAGCCCTGCATTGAGGCTGCGTCGGGATCCAAGCCTCAGGGGGGCTCCTGTCCCTTCACTGGGCCTCTGGGTGGCCGGCTACCCCTCAGGGCTCAGCTACCCCCCAAGAGGACCCCGAAGGTCCCATCCATGAGCCAGTACCCGGCCATGCAGTGAGGAAGGAGATTGCCCTCTGCAGGGGAGCGCCCAGGCCTCCGGCTACAGACTCGGCTCTGCTCAGCCCGGGACCAGATGGTGCTGAGCGAGCAGCTGTGGGGGTCCAGGATCCCTGACAATCCTGCGGCTGTCCTGGGACATCTCACTTTACAGGTGCAGAACACAGCTTCGGAGGGTACCCCCTCCAGGTCACACAGAGCTAGCTCTGACCCCCCCCACACACACATGGGTTCCTGCACCCACACACCTCACCCTGCCACTCTGCCTCCTTCCCGTGAGGGTTCTCTCCCAGGTGTGCAATGGCCAACCACCCCTCATGGAGGCAACCCAGGAACGCCACCATGGGCAGGGCTGCCAACACGGGGCCCCTTTTCTGCACACACTGGGGCACCGTTCACACACACTGGCTCATGGACACCCCCAGCTCTAGGAGATAATCACCAGCAATCACCAGTGCCATGCCAATAATCAATGTTAGTCATCTATCAGAGTCTTCCCCTATTGAACCGCACCCTCCGAGCAGGACGGCCCGAGAACCAGCATTCCAGCAGGGCCCCTGGCGGCTCTAAGCACGGGCTGCTTGCAGGCGCGGCAGCGCAGGCCATGGACCGCCTGCCGGACAGGTGTCCCTCCCCTGCTCCTCGGAGCCAGCCCGCACCTGCCCCAGGCAGATAGATGGTCAGTAAAGGCCGAGGCTCTGGGGTAAATAACCTGCCTGAGACCTACACCTGGTCAGGGCCCAGGCAGGTCTCGAGTTCAGGCCATTTGGCTGCTCTCCTCTACGGAGACCGCCCTTCCGGGCAGGCGGGGAAGAAGGCAAGTCACAGAGAACGGAAATCACTTCCCAGGAGGGTAAGAGCACCTCTGTGCCGATCCACCCTTCTCATCCCCGAGAACGGGAAAGGCTGACCTGACTGATTCTGGAGGCAAAACCGATGAGCGAGTGGGTGTGGGAGGCCCTGGCAGCACAGGACTGGAAACACCTGCCCCGGCCTGACTCCTGAGGAAGTGGAGTCGGTGGGTCCCCCTTTACTCCTCTCCTCCCCCCTTCCTGAGACAGGGGCTGGGAATTCAAAGTGAAGGGAGGAAAGACCTGTGCTGAGGACACAGCCCAGGACAGCATCAGAGGGGAACCAGCCGAGCTGGCATCTGCCTCGTGCTGTGCCCTCCCCGCGGCCCAGGTGACCCTGAGCGCCTCAGTCACAGCCGTTTCCCTGGGAACTCACCTGCCCACGATCAGCTTAATGGTGTTTGTGCAGACACCGTTCAGAGCGAGAGCCAAGGACACGGCTGTGAGACAGAACCACAGACAGAAAAGTGACCAGCTGATCTCAAAAGTCAAAATCACCATCACATCACAAAGCACTATTTCCTTTACGGCCGCAGGAAGACGATCCAGCAGCAGCTTTCAACACAGGGATGTTTGGGTGGCAAGTAAATGTGATTAGGACAGGACTTCGGAAAGCGACTCATAAAATCCTGAATCCTGAGCTGCGAGATTTATCTCCTCCTCGACTGAATGCTCAGTATCACTGAGGAGCCATCGGTCACGGGCAGATTTAAGGCTGCACAGGCGGTTTCTTTTGCTGATAGCAAAAAGCGTGAACTTCTCATTTCCTTCTACAACCTTCTCAGACACAGTTTTCATGATTAAGTCCTTCTGCAAACGAGGACACACCCATTTGGCAAGTATCCTTTTCATTTTATTGAACTTCGGGGGTGACGTTGGTTAACGTGGTCACACAGGTTTCGGGCATGGACGGCTGGGTCATGTGGCGGCTCCAGTCGCAGCTTTTCTGAGGGACTCTGTGTTGCTTGCAGAGTGCCTGTACGTCTCCCTTCGCACCAGCAGTGGACAGAGGAGGGCTCCCTCTCCTCCACAGTGTTGCTATCACCTGCCTTGTTGATAATCGCCCTTCTAACAGGCACGCCATGGGTTCTCACTGTAGTTTTGATGTACATTCCCCTCATTGCTAGCGAGGTTGGACATCTCATATATCGATGGGCTATTTGTATGTCTTCTTGGGAGAGCTGTCTGTTCAGGTCCTATGGCCATTTTTTTTTTTACTAGTAAACCTTTATTTTGAAAGTATCACATGTTTCCTTTACTCCCCATTGACCTAGCCTGCTCCCAGCCCTGCCCCTCCCCCAATCCCAGGCCCTCAGCATGGCTTGTCTGCACCCCTAGGTTATGCATATATGCATACAAGTTCTTCGGTTGACCTCCTCCCACCCACCCACCCTATGGCCATTCTTTTCTTGGGTTGTTTGACTGGTGTTGAGTTTTTTGAGTTCTTTATATATTTTGAATATTAGACCTTTGTCAGAGCTCCTGTTTGCAAATATCTCCCACTTGGCCTCTGCCTCTGTTTTGTTGTCGCTTCCTTTTGCTGTGCAGAGCTTTTCAGTTTGAAAGCAGCAACTACCTCCTGTTGACTCGTCACCTGCCAACAGCTGCCATCTATTATCCAGCAGGCAGCTGTGTCTGAGTGGGTTCTGAGAAGGCTGGCCTAAAGCACCAGGAATCCCGGGATACTTCCTTTAAAATACCCACCAGGGGGCTCTCTGGCTCCGAAGGACTTTGATGTCTGAGGGATAGGCCATCCAAGGATGCGAGTAATGGAGTCAGGGAGCTGCCCCTGCAGGGACGTCATCCCTGTTTTCACTGTGACCTCACACGTGGCGAGCCGTGTGCGGGAAGCTCAGACGTGCACACGGAGAGCCCTCGGAGGCCCGTCCCCATTGCTCTGCTGAACGACGAGGCACTGGAGCTGCCCTTCCTCTGGCAAACAAAGGACCCAACAGGAGCCGAGACTCGCATGGGAACAGCAGTGCAGGGACATTTCTGGGAAATGCTGCCCAGAGCTCCTCATGGCCATCAGGGGACGAGCGTGTTGACCTTATGAGCAGAGAGAGCTTGGAGTGGCAATGGGCACCGCGGGCACAGGGACGAGACGGAGAAAGCCGCTTGCCTTGTTAAGATGTTTGTGTTGGGCTGGGGTGACCTTGGTTAATAAAAAATTATGAAGGTTTCAGGTGCACAATCCTACATCACCACCCACAGGCTAGTCTCTCCCATCATCATTTACTCCGTTTACCCTCCCCCCCCTTCCGCTGGTAGTCACTGCTGTCTGTGTCGTTTATTTTTGCTCAATCCCATCACCCTTTTCTCCCAAACTCCCTTCCCGCTGACAGCTGTCAGGCTGTTCTCGGTATCAATGAGTCTGTTCGTTTATTTTGGTTCATTATATTCCACGTGAGGAGACCCTTTGGTACATGTCTCTCTGACTGACTGATTTCATTTAGCATAATGCTCTCCAGGTGCATCCATGCTGCGTAAAGGTTAGACTGCCTTCTTTTTTACAGCTGAGGAACCCATCACCTCACACCCCAGGATGGCATCATCAACAAATCAACCTACATTAAGTGTTGGCAACGATGTGGTGGGAATGCAGACTGGTGCAGCCATTGTGAAAAACAATATGGATTTCCCTCAAAAAGTTAAAAATGAAACAGTAACCCTGGCCAATTTTGCTCAGTGGGTAGAGCATCAGCCCTCGAACTGAAGGGTCCCGAGTTTGATTCCAGTCAAGGGCACATACCTCTCGGTTGCAGGCTTGATCCCCGGCCCTGGTCAGGGTGCATGCAGGAGGCAACCAATCAATGTGTCTCTCCCTCTCCCATTCTCTTTAAAAAAAAAAAATCAATGGAAAAATATCCTCGGGTGAAGACTAACAAAACCAAAAAATTAAAGAAAGAAAAAAAAGAAACAGCATGACCCAGGGACCCACTTCTAGGAATATATCCCGAGAAACCCAAACGCCTCTTGGAAAGAATGTGTGCACCCCTGTGCTCGCTGCTGCGTTATTTACGACAGCCACGTGCCCATTGGTGGGCGAGTGGATGAAGCGGCTGTGGTACATGCACCCACCTGCTTTAACAAGTCGGGGGAAGCAGAGAGAATGGGAGCAACCAGTTCCAATGAGCACCTTTGTCAGAGAAAGACTGACCACCTGAGTGTGAGGTGGGGGAATTGCCTATCTTGGGGAGGGGGGGGGTGAGAGGAGCCACAGCGGCTCAGCTGCATGGTCCTACCACTTAGACACCACGCCTGGGGCAGCTGGGGGCGGGGGTGGCGGCTCAGGAATGGAAACAGAGTGGGAAACTCAGGGAAACCCTCTGGTTGATCCTGAGAGCACAGACCTCCTTCCTAAACGCTGGCCTCTGCCGTCTCGCAAGCTCGAGGCCTGCTGGAAGGTCTCCTGGGCTGAGGAGGGGATCCCTGGTTTGTCTTCATGCCGCTTCTCCCAGAGCCGTGACAACGGACAGGCTGTGAGGACACCAGGACGTGACTGGGTCTCCCGACACCATGGTCCGAGGGCACACTGCCATTCTCCAGCCGGTCCGACTTCCCACCTGGTCCTGGCCTGGCCTCTGGCACAGACCAGTCTCTGGGAGAAAGTGTCTCCAGCTGAGCTGCCAGTGCATCTGGGAACTTAAAGGGGAGGCGTCAGTCCAGAACCCCACACCCCGGCCTCTGCACCAGGGGCTCGCTGCCGCACAGAGCGGGTCTTTAAAAGACCAAGTAGCCGAGCTGGGAAGCGTGTGCATGTCACGTACTGCCCACAGCGGGCAGCCTCACTCCTGACCCGAAAGCCAAAGGAGAAGAAAGGAGGGGGATCTGGGTGACAGTATCCAGGGCGGATAGAATCTCCTCGTGGGAGCAATGGTGAGCTCCTGCTGCCAGAACACAGCCAGACTCCTCATTCTGGGAGCGACCTGAGTTATTTCCATCTGAGCAGCACCCCAGGGCATCGGCATGGCCTCTCAGGCGGACACCAGAGAGAGGGCAGCCGAGTGCAGATGCAGGAAAGGCCGAGAGCAGGAAATGAGTGACCTGATCCGGAGCTTCCTGACGGATAGCAGTCGGGGGTCTGGTGTGAGGGCTGGTCTGCAGCATCCACAGCTCTGCGGGCCCAGAGGCAGCATGCCAGCCAGGCTGTCTGCTGAGAAGATGCAAAGCCACGTGGTGTGAGGAAGGGGTTACTGGGGATGAAAGGGAGACTCTGTAATATCTTTAAGAATAAAGATAATTTTTTAAAGTGAGAAGGGATTTCCAAGTCAGTTAAGAAGGCCCCGAAGAGGACATCCTGGGACCACAGTGGTATCCATCCTAACCCAGCCCGGCTGCTCGGGACATGGGTGGGAGGGCTCCGGTGCCCCGGCTGGAAAAGCTGACCTCCCACCACCAGCCTCGGACACTGGGCCACGTGACCACCAAACCCAAAGCCACAGATGAGCAGCCGGGTCGTCGCCTGGCCTATGGGGGAAGCGGGAGGCATCCACAGGCTGGCCGGAGATGACCAGGCCTGAGAAATGATGGAGCCATACTTTGCGAGTGTGGACACGGTCAATTTCTGAACTGCCTGTGATATGGGCCTGGTAGCCACAAACATGAGACGGACAGGCAGTGGTGACCAAGGACCAGGTTTCTTTCGCCACAAGAGCTGCCCTGTGCTGAGCCCGAGCAGCACCATCTCTGGGGGAGGCAGACGCCAATGTTCAGCACAACGGACAGCGGCCATGGCTACAGGGAAAGCAGGGCTGCTCCCACCTGTGCCCTGGACTTTCCAGGCTTACAACGCGTGCTCTTGCTTCTCCCAAGCTTGATTTGACCCAGAGAAAAGTTAGCTGGAGCACCTGAGGTTTTCTTAAACCCAGTCATCTAATCCAGTCCTGCCCCACCCCTAAAACCAGAACAGTGGATACTCTACCTAGGAAGGCCTCCTTAATTTCAGTCTTGTCTGTCTGCCGGATAATTTTCACCACACAGATCACAGCCAGGGGCGTGAGGAACGAAATGGCCTGGAAGAGAGGACAGACCCCGTGAGGACAGCGCTGGGCCATCTGAGGCTGGTGGGTCATCAGGGCCAGAGATGCCCCCCCCCCCCCCCCCCCCCCCCCCGTGAAACCCATACAGTAAACTAGTCAGACACACCCCGGTCCCTTTGATCTAGGATTCACAGATTTGACTTAGAGCCAAAATGGAAGAAGTCTCATTTAATACTCAAGTGTTAGGTAGTGCTCTCCTTATAAACACCCTAGTTTTTAATTTCTCTGAGATTGATGAAAATCGTTTATTTTCCAGCAGAAAAGCAATGATTAAAAAGCAATGAAAATAAGACTTGAATGCTCACTGTGCTCTGAGCTGTTGAAGGAGTTTGCAGACACAAAGACCTTCCCCGTCATCGCTAACGACAAGAGTTCCTCCATAAAACCAGGGGATCTCTTTCAAAATGCAACCATGCTTCTCCTGTGCTCTGGGAGAGCTTTGGGACCCGGGCCACTGGCTCCAGAGGCAGAAAGGCTAGCAAAGAGGAGTGACCTTCCTCTCTCATTGCCGCGTGCCTGGAGGGCTCCTCTCTCCCGCAGTGAGGCCGGCACCAGCCAGGAGCCCTGAACCCGTCCCAGAAGCCGAGACCCAGGCACTGCCCAGGGCTGGCGTCACATTGAGTGCCTGGTCGGTGGCAGGCAGCTGACCAGCTGAAACCTGTGGCGAAGACCTCAGCTTCTCTTTGCAGCAGGCGAGCTTCGGTTTGCAGCCGATTTCACTGTGAACACTGGGGACAGCCCAGCGCAGCTTGGCTGGCAGGCCCCTCCTCCCAGCGCCCGGCATCACTCCTCCTCGCGTGAGCCAGCGGTGCCCACCGAGATTTGGTTTTGAACTCGAACCTGATGGACTGCTCACCGTCTCTCTCAGGCAGCCCCGTCTCCAGGGGGTTAGAAAAGCTGACAGGGAAACTCACTGGGTTTGCACTTGGGAGGAAGGCCGAGCCAGCGGGAGAGCTGGTACTTACAAACATGAGGCGGGTGGGGATGTTGTCCGACTGCACCAGGGGGTTTTTGTACAGCCAGATCTCCTCCGGCTGGATGACTCTCTGGAACGGGTCCAGAAACTCCGTGAAACTGAAACAGCAAAGAGATGCGTGAGGGCCGAGCGCTCAGCTGCTGTCTTAGTTCTGGGAAGGCCGCGTCCTCCGCATCCCCTGGGAGCACCAGCCCACCTCACACCCTAGGGGAGGACCAGCCCACCTCACACCCCCAGAGAGGACCAGCCCACCTCACACCCCCAGGGAGCACTAGCCCACCTCACACCCTAGGGAGGACCAGCCCACCTCACACCCCCAGGGAGCACCAGCCCACCTCACACCCCCAGGGAGCACCAGCCCACCTCACACCCCCTGGGAGGACCGGCCCACCTCACACCCTAGGGAGCACCAGCCCACCTCACACCCTAGGGGAGGACCAGCCCACCTCACACCCCCAGAGAGGACCAGCCCACCTCACACCCTAGGGGAGGACCGGCCCACCTCACACCCCCGGGAGGACCAGCCCACCTCACACCCTAGGGGAGGACCAGCCCACCTCACACCCCCAGGGAGGACCAGCCCACCTCACACCCCCAGGGAGCACCAGCCCACCTCACACCCTAGGGGAGGACCAGCCCACCTCACACCCCCAGAGAGGACCAGCCCACCTCACACCCTAGGGGAGGACCGGCCCACCCCTCGGGAAGAGCAGGGTGATGCTGCCCCAGCTGGTGGCTCTCAGCCCCGACCAACTGGGGAAAGACAAAGAATGACAGAGTGGGTGGTGTCTTCCCTCGACACCTGCCAGCGGCATGGGCCGATTCTGGGCATGAGAACAGCTGTGAGCATAACATGCAAAGACCCTAAGAACCGGGATTTCAAGGTGAATGGTTCTAGCTCTGCCTGATGCCGAGCAGGTGCTCAAAATGAGGGGCCCCTAATTTCAGAGAGAAAACACGTTCGCTGCTGTCCCCTCTGACAAAGGATCGTCATCGCACTCTAGCTGCAGAAGAGAGTTCTGGGAAATGAGGGGTCACGCCCTTCCCGCCCCCCGCCGCCCCCAGACACCGGGAAGCAGTGTGTCGGCAGGATGGCAGGCTGGCAAAGCCCACAGCTCGCGGCCAGGAGCCTGACGATTCGATGCTCGCCCGTCCCTCTGCTCTGACAGCTGACTGTTAGGAAGAGCTCCACAAAGGAGCGGGCTCACGTGGAAACCCTCCCTCCCTGGTTCGTGGGAACGCCCAGCTGGACAGGCTCAGCTGAGCCGAGACCCCGGAGGCAGGCGGGAACACCTGTCGTCAGTGGCCGAGCCGAGTGCGTTACAGACCGGCTGAGCTCTGAGTCAGTACGTGGCCGGACGTGGCTCCACAGCCAGGAAGTGGCGGCAGGGCCTGACCCCAGGGCTGTGACTTCTGCTCCGAGCGGCCCGAGGGAGACCAACGCCTGCGTGGCACCAGCACGGGGGGTGCTCGGCCGCGTGCTGCCCGGGGATCTCCACCCCGAGCTGCTGGCACCGAGGAGGGAGAGCTGCGGCCGCTCTGCTCGGGCGGCGCCCGCCCAGGAGGAGCCACGCTCAGTCCCAGCACCAAGACCGCGAAGCCGAACGGCGAGAAGCCAGGTGAGTTCGAGTCTGGCATCGCCCAGACTGCCGGGACGGGCGACAAACTCGGACCTCAAGGCCCAGCCCCGGGACTGGACGTCACAGCGGCCAGGGAAGTGACGTTGGTGGCAGTCGGAAAGCTATCATCTTTGTTCTGGTTCCTCAACTCAAGTCTTTACAGGAAATCCACGTCCGACTGGACCTCGAGCTGAGGTGGTGGTCCTGGGAGGCACGCGGTCTTCATCGGGCAGAGGAGAGTCTGTCTGCACCAACCCCAAAAAGCTGGACAGAGGACAAACAGAAGCATCTGGAGCCGGACGCCGACTGCCATCCTGGAGCCTTGCTCTTCCGAGAGCCATCGTGGGCAAGAGGATCTGCGAGAAGCTGGACGCAGCCGGCTCCCAAGGTGCATCGGGACACAGTGCAGCACAAGGCTGAAACTTTCTCCCAAGTCTGTAAGCAGCTCATGGCAGGGACGTTAGTTGTGAATTCCCAGAGTTCCAGTTGAAAAGAAAAATGACTAAAACATCGTTCCCAGTTTTAAAAAAACGAAGGGTGAGGTGCCAGCCCACACACAGAGGGGCAGGGGTCGGGGGCAGGGGGGAAGGGCAGGGGTCTCTACTGGACGGGCAGAGTCCACAGCACTGATCCCACAGGAGCAGGTGCTGCAGAGCCCAGGGCACCCACAGCATCCCAGGCCTCAGGGCCCAGACCAGTGACTGACAGCGTCTCAGGGGCCTGGTCTGCTGGGTGGAGCCACGAGAAGCACACCCCTCAGGGAGGCGGGAAGCAGTGTTGATGTAGGGTTCGTTATCACCATAGTTTTTTGTTTGTTAACCTTCACCCAAGGATATTTTTTCTATTGAGTTTTAGAGAGACTGGGAGAAAGGGACGGGGGGGGGGGGGGGGGGTGATTGGTTGCCTCCCAGATGCACCCTGATCCTCGAGCCTGCAACCCAGGTTCGTGCCCTTGACCAGGAATCAAACCCAGGACCTGAGTTACAGGCTGACTCTAACCACTGAGCACACCGCCCGGGGCTATCCTTCATTTTCAACTCCTCCCTTTCCAGTTGGAACATCCTCTCCACAATCAGCCGAAGGTTAACGGAAGGCCCCCAAGCCTGTTCAAGGAGCGGTGTCACCCCCACCCCCCGCCACCCCCGTGCTCCTCCGGACTCCCAGGATGGTCCACACCTGGGCGTGGTCTGGCACAGCCTCCACAGGTCCATCACCTGCTCCCACAGGATAGGTCTGCACACCTGTCACTACCTGGTGGTGAGGGGGGTGAAAATCCGAAGATGTGGGGCCCAGAGCCCTCGCCCACAGTCTAAATGGAGAGGCCCCTGGGCATCTGCTGTGTGCCAGTCGCGGTGTCGCTGTTCAGGGCAAAGGACTGACCGCAGACAGTCAGACTTGCAGGAGCCCCAAGTCTGAAGCAGATGGACAATCAGACAATGGCCGCCTTAGGGGAGCACTGTCCAGTGGGAGAGGCTGTCGGGTGACGGACTCCACGCTGCAGACTTGGAGGAGCTTCTCAGGAAAAGTCAGAGCCTGGCTGGGCCCGGAAGCCAGAGCGAGATCCGTCAGGGTGGGGCGGGGTGGGGGCGGGGAGGGGAGGGGGGTGGGTTCGGGAAGCCGAGCTCCAGGAAGGACGCTGAGGCAGTTCACATCCTTAGACTTGCAGCTCCTACTGCAGTTAGTGACAGTTACATTTACAGTCACCACCTGGGAGCCCCAGGCCTTGCTCTGCACCACCTGCCTTCAGGCTGGGCCTCCCTGCCCTCCCCCCTTCCCCCCCTCCCCCTCCACTGCCGGTCTGGCTGCCTGCCCAGCAGGACCTCACAGGTAATCCTGTTAGGCCCCCTTGTAGTTCAGCCCCATCATTCCTGCCAAGATTTTTATGAACCTTGATTCTATTATCCTACGTATTAGCCTTCCACCCGGGTTCTGTGTCATTCGAAAATTCAATAAGCTGCTTTCTATGTCCTTATCCAAGTTGCTGATAAAAACCTTGCACAGGAGGTCGGAGGTCAGAGGCCAGAGGCCTGAGGCCTGGCCCAGGCAGCACACACGCACACGCACGCGCGCACACACACACACACACACACACACACCGCTATGCCCTGAGCACAGCCAATGCCTGCTCTCTGGATGCTCTGCTGGTTCACCCTCCAGCTACTTCAGCAGCCAGAGGACTTCCTCCCCTGTCCCCCAGGGGCACAGACTCGGTAACAATGGTAACGCCTCACCCCGAATCACACCAGCCAGCCAGCACCCAAACAGCCCCTGGGTGTGCAGAACTTGAGCCTAAGCGGGAGCCTATCGGCCCCTCGGCTGAGCCTATAATCTCATGTCACCCACAAGCATATTTACACGTGACCACCTGCCTTTCTTCCTTTCAAGGAGCATAACTTGGTTTAAGTAAGTAAAAGGTCTGTAGCCTTTCAAGAAGACAAACCACAATGATTAAATTCCCACTACTGCGCCCGGCTGGTTTGGCTCAGTGCATAGAGTGTGGGCCTGCGGATCAAAGGGTCCCGGGTTCGATCGAGTCAAGGGCACGTACCTCAATTGCAGGCTCTTCCCGGGCCCGGGGCCCTGGTCAGGGCACCTGCAGGAGGCAACCGATTGATGTGTTCCTCTCACAACGATGTTTCTGTCTCTCCCACTCTTCCTAAAAATCAATGGAAAGATATCCTCAGGTGAGGATTACAATAAAGAAAAAAAAAATCCTACTACTGCATGGGAAAGGGGTCTATGCCTCAGTACACCAAAAGGAACCACGGACCTCAGTGGTTGAGCGCTGACCTATGAACCAGGAGGTCACAATTCAATTCCCCATCAGGACACATGCTGGGTTCCAGGCTTGATCCCCATTAGAGGAGATGCAGGAGGCAATCAACTGATAATTCTCTCTCATGGATGTTTCTATCTCTCCCTTTCCCTTCCTCTTTAAATCAATTGAAAGATTTTTATTTTAAAGGAATCACAGGTTCCACCAATGACAGGTGGGACAAACAGAAAACAACCAGGTGGCAGACTTGTCAACCTTAAAAATAAAACAGCCAGTTGTTTTTCCAGCAAGAATGACTTCACTTGGGAATAGCAGAGGAGCTGCAATTTAGGACTTGCAAATTGTTTGAACTCACGCACGTGTGGAGAACATAGGGGGGAAGTGTTACTTTTTAGAGAAAAAGGAGGAAGTTGGGAGGAGCAGTTAAGAACAACTCCGTCGGAGAGCCCGAGTTCCTCGTTGCAGTGGCTGGTTTCTCATTGGCTGTGTTGTTGCTGGGCAAGGAGAAAACCTTCCTTCCAATGCTGGGGTTACCACGTCAGCTTCTTCCTGCCCCCCACTGTCAACGAGAGGGGGGGTGTCCACTTAAAATTCCACTGCATGCCCGACCACATCTGTTTCTGCACAGTCTTGCAGCCCTTGGTTTTTCTTTAAATAGTTAGCAGATATAAAACATAGAAAGGCTGATTTCTGACACTCACTACAGGATTCCCAAAGCAATCATGAAAGAATTAGAGCTGCTCTGAGGATATTTCTGTTTTCCCCCAAACAGGAAACATCAATACTGATCTTCCTGATTATGAATGAAAGTAATACACTTTACTGTAAAATAGTTTAGACCATAAACAGTATTTAAAAAAACAAGTATTACAAAGTTCCATGCCTTGAAATAATCATCATTAAGATGTTTGTGTATTTTCATAGACATGTTTCTTACAGACGCGGACGCAAATTCGGGTACTGCATCGCTTGCATTGCGCACACTCCTGTGACTGGCTTCTTACCACTTAACAGATTGTGAGTATCCTCACAACTCATCTACGTAATCAATTCCAGTGGCTGCATGTTCTTTCCGTTGTAGCACATAAAGCTTGCTCCCATCGACTCTCAGAGCACACCTGGCATTTCTATGGGAACCACAGCATTGGGGTGTCTTAGTTATCAGCATCTGCCAGTTCCCTCTGCTCATATCTGCTACCCCTGTGTGGACTGAGGCGCTCTTCTCTACTCTCCCTTCTGATGGCAGGCGCTGTGTGTGAGGCTCTAACGCCTCACCCTGTAAGCTAGGACGGGGCGGCAGAGATTAAACCATCTGAGGGTGCCAAGCCCCTAGCACGAAGCCACAGGCAGGGAGCTCTGCTGTGGCCTCCCTCCCTCCCTCTCCCTGCTCCACCTCCCTCCCTCCTTCCCCCCAAGGTGGAGGCCCAGGGCATCTAAGAGGTACCTACACACGCGCACACACTGGCCGCTTCTCTCCCAGGGGGGTCCCGGGTAATTCTTCAGAAGGCCTTCCCAACTTCCTACGTGCTACTCCGGCCTCAGCTCCGAGAGCTGCACCCTCATCAGTACACTGTGACATGAGGAACCTTTTGAGTGACCTTTGCCTCCGCCTCCTCCGAGGAGGGAAAGGGGGTGGAGAGGGGAGCGGAGATGGGCTTTAGCGCGGACCTCGTGCCAGCGTGTGCTGGGCACCATCTCACACGACATTTCATCTTCACAGCTTCCTGGACGAATACACAACTCAGTCAGGATGCTTGTCTCACAACCAGTAGGCAGGTTTCGCCCCAAAGCCTGAGGGAACGGCCCTCCTGCAAAGCGGGGCCCAGCTCTGGGCGTCCTTGTGGCTTCACCCAGAGCAGCTGCTCTGCAGACCGAGACGAAAGCAGCGCCGGGCCGTTCTCTCTCAGAACGAGGGCTGTCTAGAGAAGCTAATCCTTCTTACCTCAGGTGAATGCCAGCACGTCCACTCCTTAGTGTATACCAGTGGTCGGCAAACTCATTAGTCAACAGAGCGAAATATCAACAGAACAATGACTGAAATTTCTTTTGAGAGCCAAATATTCTAAACTTAAACTTCTTCTAATGCCACTTCTTCAAAACAGACTCACCCAGACCGTGGTGTTTTGTGAAGAGCCACACTCAAGGGGCCAAAGAGCCGCCTGTGGCTCGAGAGCCGCAGTTTGCCGACCAGGGGATCATTCACCAATGAGACAAGCATTGGGCGTAACAGCCCAAACCTACAAACAACCCAGGAGTCCTCAGCAGCAGATGGGTGAATGAGGAGAGGTACCAGGATGCAATGAGACATTCACCGAAGTGCAACCCACAAACCACCACCACACACCACGAGGACACCTGTGCTTCCGTTTCTCCACCCGCAAACAGCGCTGTCAGCATCCCCATCTGAGGGCTCCCCACAGACTCGGGACCCTCCTCCTCGGGGCCTGGCACACGGTGAGCCCCGCATGCAGTCACCACCGGAGTAAAGCTGGAAGGAGCGGGCGCTGGTCTCAGGGCTGCTGACCGGCCGCCACGTCTCCTCGCTGTCTTGCTCACACAGGCCGAGGGCTTCAGCATCTGCAGAGATGCCCCCAGAATCTCCCCTGGATGATGGAGGGCATCTGTGTGCCCTGCTCCTGCTCTGCTCTGCCCACATCCGTACATGAGGGCCAAGGGGCCTGTGAACCCAGAGCTTCACGGTGCCCAACACAGCCTCCACGACGTCGCACTCGGACTTTTCCTAAACCCCTCGTCCCTCCACCAGTGCCTTTCCTGTTCGGTCACCTGCCTGCACCAGCTCTGGTTTGCATTACTCACCCCTCATTTCCTTCCCAGTGATGTTCTCAGGCTGGACTGTCCCAAAGGCACGGAGCACCCTTCGGGGCGACTCTCAGGGCAGCTCTGGGGGCTGGGAGCACCTGCCTGCACAGTGAGCACTGGTCCCCCGGTGAGCCGGGGACACTGTCACCCCACCATGGTGGTCCCAGATGCACGTCATTCCCGCAAACACAGACGCCACAGGACCCCCTGGCATCGGGGGATGGGCTTCCTGGCCTCACACAGAACAACTGTGGTCAGAGAACAGGTGCGTCCACAGGTGATGTTTCCCCAGAGGCACCAGTTTGCAACGCAAGGTATCCCTCCCACCAGATTTTTCTCTTGTCTGGGGCAATAAACAGGGTAGAAACACCAAGCAGAACCAGGTGAATTAGATCAACATCGGAGACATTGGGTTCTGCCTGCCCGAAGGGACTGTCCACTCCTGCCCAGGTGAGGCCTTTGGCTGAGACCACCGTCTTCATGAGCAGAGTACAGCCCGCCCACCTTGCCATCCGACCAGCGCCGGCAAACAAAGAATAAAACTCCCCTGCCAGCCTCTGCCCTTGCCAGGCCTGTCTGAGAAGACAGAGGGTCATCTGTGTCTGGGAGCCCAGGGCCTGCGCTCCGGAAGCCGCCATCTGCCTGCCAGTACAGCTCTGAAGTCAGGGTCCCACAGGGAGGCTCCTGCCAACACTGACGCTGGTCTGTGCAGGTAAAGGAGCCACTAGTTGACACAGCGATTTGATATGAAAACCAGGAAATCGGCCCAAAGTGCCATCCATGCCCAGGTGTGCGTCCCTCTGGGTGAGAGCAGATCCCCCGTTAAGTCGTTAATACCAAGGGGGGTTGGAGAGAAGAATATAAACTGGCTTGCTTTTACATATCAAGGGCACAAGAAGCACATTCACAGTAATCATAAAGCTTCCAATTCCACTGCACAGATCTTTATGTATTTGTAAACATCTCATAAATGTTTGAGGAAACATGAAGGAAAACCTGAAAACAATACAAATACGACTGGACTCTATTTTTTTAATCCTCACCCAAGGATATTGTCCCATTGACTTTTAGAGGGTGGAAGGGAGGGGGAGAGAGAGAAACATCGATGTGTCAGACACATCAATTGGTTTCCTCCCTCCTGCTCCCCAACCTGGGGCTGGGGATCAGGCTGAGACTGGACCCTTCACTCCCAGGGCCAACGCTCCATCCACTGAGCGGAACCAGCCCCGGGGTGTGGACCCTCTCCCACCTTGATGTTCTCAGCAGCAGGCAAACCAGGCAGCTCTCCTCACTGCCCTTCAGCACTACTCAGGCCCCAGCAGGTGCTCAGTTCTACCTGCACCCAACTCTCATTTCCGACACATAATTTCATGAGCAGAGTACATTGGACATTGTCCAGTCACTAGTCTGAATGTTTATTTCAAAGGTAGAAAAGCACAGTAAGAGGGAACCGTGTTGTCCCTTTTCCCAAGATGCACTGAAGCTCCGGGCTCCTGTTCCCTGAATCGCCGGTGTTCCCTGAGGCGGGAGGGCTGCCTGCACTGGGGGTGGGAGGAACACTGGTGGCTTTCACCCGGGAAGGACCCGGGGAGACAGGGCACTTCTGTCCCCGGTGCCCGCTGCCAGCAGCTCCCAGCCTCCCACCTGCCCTCAGCCACTGGCTCTGCAGAAACCCGGGAGGGGCCTCCCCCTGGAATGGCTCAGCGAGCTTCTCAGCAACACAAACAAGCGAAACAGCCAGCAAACCCACCAAGTTCACGCAACTTGAACCTGTGACACGTGTCAGAACAGCGTGGGCAGAGGGAGAGGGCCTGCGGCCACTGGGGGGACAAGGCCCGGGGAGCCCTGGTGGCAGTGATGGGGGCGGGGTGAGCTGGCAGAGGCGCCAGGGCTCCTGCTCTGGGCCCGAGGCCGGTGGGTGGCGGGCCCAGCAGCACCCACACCTGTGCCAGGCGGACCTCCTCCTTCCCAGATCTCTGTTCCGCCCACCCCCCCCCGGGGCTCTGGGTCCCTCCCGGCGGGCGGGCGGCGGGCGTGGGGAGCCCCCTTCCGAGCTCCCGGCCAAGAAGCGCCGCCGGCGCCCCCCGCACCGGGCGCTCCGCCGGGGACACGGCAGCACCGAGCCCGGCCTGGGGCGGCGGAGCCACGGGAGCGGAGCCCGGAGCCAGGGCAGCCACAGGGGCTCCGAACTCGGAGCAGAAACTTCCCGAGGGCGCGCCCGCCTCCGGGGGATCCCCGAGCCCCGGCCGGTGCGGCGGCGCCGGCTCCGCCCGCTGGGGGGGCGGCGGCGGGAGCGGGTCTGAGACCCGCGCGGGGGTCCGCGGTCCCCAAGGCGCAGCCCGGCTGGAGCGGGGCCGGGACTGGAACCCAGGCCCCGCGGGACGCCGTGGCCCCAACAAAGTTGGGGCGCAGCATCGCTCGGCCCGTGGTCCCCGGCCTTGCGCCGCTACTTACACGAAGACCCCGAAGAGCAGGGCTCGGACCCCGATCTCGACGGCCAGCTCCCGCATGGCGCGGCCGGGCGGACCGAGGCGGCGGCGGTGCGGCGGCGGCGGCTCCGGGCTCCGGGCTCCGGGCTCCGGGCTCCGGCCGGGAGGCGCTCCAGGCCGCGGCGGGGGCGGGCGCGGCGGGGGCGGCGGGCGGGCTCTGCCTAGACCTCCCGCCTCCGGCCGGGCTCAGGGACGCCGCTCGCCCTGCCTCCCCGCCGGCCCGCGCCTGGGGACTCCCGGCCCCGCCGCCTCCTCCTCCGCCTCCTCCGCCTCCTTCTCCTTCTCCGCCGCGTGGAGGCCTCCGCCGCCGCCGCCTCCACGCGGAGGGAACCCCGCCGCCCCCGCCTGCACGCCGCTCCCCGCGGGTGGGCGGCCCCTGCGCCGCGTCCTGTCCTCCGCGCGGAGTCCCTGCCCTCCCGCTTTCAGCTCAGTGGGCGCCCCCCGCCCCCCGCACACGCCCCCCCTCGCCCCCAGTACACGCCCCCCGCACTTGCACACGCCCCCGGCACACGCCCAGGCACAGGCACGCACGTGGCTGCAGCACAGACGCGCCGGGATCCTCGGAGCTCCTGGCGCTTCTCCCTCCTCCCTCCGCACCCCTGCACCTCCCGGACCTGGAATCCTGTTTCTAGGAAGTTTCCCTGCCACTCGGGGGAGCCAGGTGCCCATTGATGGGACAGGGTAGTCAGTCAGTGTCTGTCTCTGTCTCTCTCTCTCTCTCTCTCTCTCTCTCTCTCTCTCTCTCTCTGAATTTATAATTAAGGACAGAAACGCTTTGCTCCTATGAAAGGACTGGCATGGCCCCATTGGTGTCCCAGATCCCATAAGGCAGCCAGCCGCTCCAGCAGCTCCCGGATAAAGGATGGACCTGCAAGCAGTGAAGGCAGTTTCAAAAGCCCTCCAGCCCCAGCACCCAGGTCCCAGCCGGACTCCTCTGGTCTGCATGACCCCAATGTTCTCTCATCAAGGACGCCTGGGTGCGAGGGCCTACCTGCTCAGAAACCCTCTCATTAGAGAGTCAACAAGTTTGCCTGAACAAAACCAGCTCCGTAACTGAAGTGTGAGGCTGATCTTTGAAAATCACTTCAGGATGCAGCCACTCAAGTAAGTGCAGCGCCCTCCAAGTGCCGCTCTGAAAATCTCTCCTTTGGTGTCAAGGAAGTCACCTCACAGCCGTGCCTCTGCTGGAGGATCTTTTAAACCCCCAACAGCACTGTCCGGTAGGATGGTAGGATGACCCCATGTTGACCAGACTAATTTCAAAGAGAAAGCCACCGAGGAGAATATCACTTGGCAACAAATTCTTATAATCTAATTTCCCAATGAGAGGGTTGGCATGGAGACCCTCACCTATAAGAACCCGTATTTCAGGCTTTCCAGGGTTACCTGGTGTGAACTTGCTAATAAGCCTAAAACACCAAGGATCCAAGAAAAATTCCCAAGAGGTCATCAAGTTCAACCCAGCACATGACTGTCTCCCATGATGGTCTCAGTAAATAGGTCTTCTGCACACCTCCAGGATGTGCAGCTGGTGGGCCGACAGCTGTCATGTCCTCTCAGTGACCTCTCCTAGTGAGTGATTGTCAGATGTTAATGATTCCATTCTGAAAACAATTACTGCCCATCTCTCATGCTTCTGGAATTTGAAGAATCCACACTGGGTTGAAAAGGAGGTCTTAAAAACCCCGTGTTTGTATTTGTAGCCGTGTACCTGTATGAAGACAGACTTTTTCTTCTCCACACGATCCAAACACTGCTATATTATCATCATGTTGCCTGTTCTGAGCTTACTCTCTCCTGGTTGAAAATGCAGATGAAAGAGTATATTTGAAAGGAGTTTTGTGGGGATTTAAAAAAATATTTTCTATTGATTTTGAGAGAGGGGGAGAGGGAGAGAAACATTGATGTGAGAGCAAAGCATCAGGCTGCCTCCTGCATGGCCCCCACCAGGGATGGAGGCCAAAATCCATGCATGTGCCCTGACCGGAATCAAAACAGCAACCCCCTTCCGTGCAAGGGACGATGCCCAACCCACTGAGCAACATCAGCCAAGGCAATAATAGCTATAGTTTCTCAGCACTCACTCTATGCCAAGCATTGTCTTAGGAACTTTATATTCTTCATGAACTTAATTCTTACTCAACAGTGTCATCTGTATATTATTATGCCCATCGTTCAGATGAGGAATTTGAGATACAAATAAATTAAGAATTGGGCACAAAGTCACACAGGAGTAAATAGTGGAGGCAGGAGGTGAACCTGGGGACTTGAGTCCCTCTGTCCCAAGCTGTGCTTCCAGGGAGGAGGAGCATGTGGACGTGAAGATGAACAGCCATGGGGAGAGCCAGTGAGGGGGTGTTGGCTGGAAGGATCCTAAATGCTGGGAAAGTGTTGAGGTTTTAGCTTCAGGAAATGATTTGTAGGAGACAAAAGGAGGGTGAAGCCAGCCCTGGGCAAGAAGTGCAAAAAGAAAGCTGAGTCTGCCCTGGCCCATGTGGCTCAGTGGATAGAGTGTCAGCCTGCAGGCTGATGGGTCCCGGGTCAATTCCGGGTAAAGGCACATGCCTGGGTTGCAGGCTCAATCCCTGGTGTGGGGTGTGCAGAGGCAGCTGATCAATGATTCTCTTATTACTGATGTTTCTATTTCTCCCTCTCCTTCCTCTTTGAAATCAATAAAAAATATGCTTTAAAAAGAACTCAGTCTCAGATGAGAAACAAGCACTTCCGTGAGGACTGTAGCTACTCGAGGGACTTGGTCATATAGGATAGAAACCAGAGTTAACTAACTTAACAAGCAGTTCTTCAGATGGGTTTTATAACACGGACAGAAAAGACAAAGAACCAGACTAAAACAATAACAACAACAAAAAAACACCAAGAAACAAGGAAGATCCCGCAGCAGGAAGTACATGTGGCCACAGGGAGAGAACTGCCCGCTGAGCCGAACAGAGGGGCTCCTGAGTCAGGTCAGGTGGCAGAGTTCTGGGGACCAGTGGGCCAGGTGCCAAAGGAGGAAACCCAGCAAGGCGTTCACGACCGGGGGAAACCACACGCCCTCTGCGATGGCTGAGCACCGCAGACATCTGCTCTCAAGGTCTTGCTTCTGGGGTCAGCGTCATTGCCTTGTGCAAAGGTCCCGCTACATAGAAGACCAAGTCCCCATCCCAACCCAACGCCAGACCCTCATAAGTGATGGAGGTCGGTGGCCAACGCCATGGCCGCGTGCTGCTGGGCGAGTACATGGCCGGGAGCCGCTGCTCAGAGGAACCGGGGCAGGAAAGCGAGCCTGATGGGGGAGAGGGTTCAGGGCTGCCTGCTGACCTCAGATGACCTTGCAGTCTCTGGTGTTTTCTCCATCTGACCAAAGGCTGCGCCTGCGTCGTTTCCCTGCCTGTGCCTGTGCCGACCTGACATCTCAGCGTGAACCCTGTTGCACAGAGATGCCCAAATCTGCTGTTGTAGATTCCTCTTTTTCCTTTTTTCCAGCCTGGCCTGGCGGGCTGTTACAGCGAATCAGTAAGCAGGACTTGATGCTCGTGCAGGTGCCTGACAAATCTGTCCACTGACGCCAAGGCAGGAACTTGGCATGACAGAGGGAACACAATTACCATTGGGAACATGGCCCCAATGGGTGATCGAGCGCATGAGGAAAGGAAACTTTTACTGGGGAAGCTTCATTTAAAAGGAAAAGGCTCCAGATAATTCTAAAAACAACCCTTTGATTTAATCATTAGCATCTAAATTGCTCTGCATGAGAAAACGCCTTTAAGCATTCATAAGATTAAGGTGCCAAAATTAATGTGTAGCTATTATAGAAGTGCTTACAATTGTCCAGAAATCGTGCATAATTAAATAGCAATTTTTCAAACGCTTCAATAAAATGCAGTCAAAAAAGAACAAGAAACGTTTGTGAGCTGTGAGCCCTCTTGTGGCCACAAAGCGCAGTGCAGCCAAGACCTCCACCCTGTCCCCCACCTCAGTCCTGGAGCAGGCGGCTTTGGGGGCCAGAGTCTAATTGTGAGGCCTGACTCCCTCATCTGCGGGCCTCTCATTCTAAGGAAGCTGCTGGGCAGTAAGCAAATGCTCTTCTCTCTTTCTGGAGCCATTGAGGACATCAGAACAGACCCAGCCTTCCCGCGCCTCCCTTGTTACTGGGCAACAGCAGGCAACACTTAGGGAGCTTAGTTGCTTTGAAGGACAGGTTGTTGGAGAGAGAAAGGACCAGGATTCCTGTGTGCAGATGCTGCAGCTGAGGCTCCAAGGGGCTGTGTGACTGGCCCACGGTCTCACTCTTCCCGCCCGATGTTAAATGCCACCCTCCTGGGTTTGTTTATTTATAAATATTTTATTGATTTTAGGGAAAGAGAGAGACAAACATCGACACGGGAGTGATTCCTCCATTGGCTGCCTCCTGCATGCCTCCTACCGGGATCCAGCCAGAAGCCCAGGCGCTGACAATTTACCTCCCATGCACCCACCCGGGGGCACCTGCTGCTTCCCACCCTGCTGCACTCCTTCACAGGTTGTCCTTGTGCCTCATTGGCATTCGGACAGCAGCCAGCCAGCTGTCCTTCCGGCCCAGGCCACTCTCCAGGGGGCAGCCAGAAGGGCTTCCAAACCTCAGAGCGAGCCAGTCTGTCACTTAGAACCCTCGGGGGCCTGTTGCTTTAGGAGGAAGTCCAAGATGGCCACTGTGACCCGTTCAGCGGCCTGCTCCCCCACCCTGCTCCAGCCTCACAGACATTCCTCAGGGCACGCACTAGTGCTAGCCACACCACCTGGTTAAGTTCCACACCTTCGACAGCTCCTTCTGTTTCAGGCTGCTGCTCCACACCCTGATTACCATCACTGACAACGCTGTTAAGCCCCTACTGTGTACAGGACACCATGCGAGGCAGACTCCAGGGCACTCTCTCCACTGAACAAGTCATAAAGCACCTTGTTCACACACTGTCAGCAAGGTGCTACCTGGAAACCACCTGACTCAGCCCTTTAATCCCAGAATCTAGGACAGTGTCCAGCATATAATGGTGCTCAGAAAGTATTTGTTCTTTTCCCTACTCCATGCCATCTTTCAGGATGTGTAGTTTGTAGTGTTTCTAGAAGTCTCCTCTTATGAAAGATAAAACA